GAGGCGGGGTGGAGCTGCTGTGTGGGGGCGGGGGAGGAGGAGGAGGAGGGCCGCCCCGAGAGGGGGGTGGAGGAGGCGCTGCACGGGCGAGAGGGCACTCATGTCAACGAGGAGGAACGCGCGCACACAAAATCTCAAAAAAACCCATCCATGCACCTCTCACACATGCTGCTTGTCGGCGCGTGTGCTCTCGGTATTTTGAGCACACATACCTTCTCTCATCTTGATGGCCCTCTCACACATTGCTGCCATCGAGACTCGGCTCCCTCTGGTCGATTCATCCTCATCTCTCATTCGCACTACTTGCCTCATAAGCACGAACCCTCTCACTTATTCACCCTCATGTGTCGCACCCACCCCCTCTCATTCGACCACACCTTCGCACCCGCAAAGCCTTCTTGTTTCCACTCTCTCTCTCACATCCACTCACGGGCACCAACCTCCCTCTCTTGCGAAAAAAAAAAATCACCCAACCGTCCCCCCTTCTCACACTCCCCTCATGTCTCGTACGCAATTGACCTTTCATGTCCACTCACTCTCACACAAACTTGCTCCCGCTCTCTCGGTATCCGCTTACCCTGCCTCCTGAGCTCGTTCTTGACCGCCTCCACTCCCCCTTTCTTCTCGATGAAGTCGTAGATGACCTTGGAGGTTTCTCTGTCCTTCAACTGAGCCTCTGAGATGCCGCACATGTCAAAGAGGTTCTTCAGCTCCGGGTCCAAATTGTTCAGCTGCAAGGTGGGCAGGAAGGAAAACACACCCACCCACACCCACACCCACGTCCAGGGTCAACTTCCAGACTTTGTTGTGTATCTGCTGTGGGTGGCGCTCTTGTGATTGTCGGCACCGTGACAAGTCAACATTTTTGAGGGATGTTAATGTGTGTGTGTGTGACAACAACAGCTTATTGTCGAGTGATGTCATCATCCACCCGCCACAACACGCACAACATCCTTATTGTGCTGCCACGTGCGTGTGTGCGTGCGCGCTACTCACGTCGAAACCCGTGTTGGGATCCCAGCCCACGTGACCGATGTGCCTGGAGAGACAAAACGGGACAAACGCAATCAGACCACAGCGGCCAGGCTCCCGCACCCTCAACAAATTTTGCGGTACTGTTTGCTAGGTGTGGGACATTTTTTTTTGTTTTTTGGGCAACAAAATGGCACGGCAGTTTTGGCTGGAGTAAGGTCAAGAAGGCGCTCTGACTGGAAGTTGCTGGGCGTGCCGATGTCGGCCTTGGTCAGCTTCTTCTTCTTGACTTTGCTCTTCTTGTCCTTCCTGTGAATCGGCACGTTGTTGACGTGGTACTGCGAGCCGAGGGAGTTGAGCAGGCGCGCGTTGTTGATCTCCGGGTTCTTGATGTCCACCGTGGCGATATGAAGTGTGGGGCCTGCGGAGGGCGCGCCGGGTTACTCAAAACCGCCGCAGGTCACCGCGATACACCCCGACGATGCGGGAAAGACGGGACATCCGTTGACAACTTGACGGCGCAATGCCACTGCGGGTGCCGAAAAGTGAGATAGCGACACACTCGGTACTTTTCGATTCAAATACTTTTAGATCGAGAAGATTAAAAAAAAAAAAAAAAAAAAAAAAAAGAAATCCCATTCGGTCGCTCCTTTGTGACACTTTTGCGAGGCCGTGCAGTTCCGTTGCCGAACGCGGGCCAAGGAGGGCTGCGGCATCGCCTGGGCGGCAGACATTCAGGAGGCGTTTCTTACAGCGGCCACTTTTGCTACAGAGAAGCAAAAGCGCGAATCGCTCATTTTGAAGTTTTTACCGACGCTCCAAAAAGCTTCGCCGGGAGCACACGTGGCAAAACGCGCTTCCGTCACCTATTTGGGCAAGAAGGATGCCAAGGCAAGCTCGTAACTCTTGACGGCACACTAGCTTGAGGCGTTGCGCCTAAGTCAAGCTCAAATCTTCACCACCGGCTTCGCCATTTCATCCGCTGCTACATACGAATTTGTAAATATGGTTCAGTGTTGTTGCCCGTGAAAACACGGCGTCGTCATATTTTGCCCCGGGAATTTGATCCCGGCGCGCTCTGAGTTCTCGGGGGGCACGCGCGTGGGTCCCGCCCATGCCACGTGGCGCGATACGCCGGATGTCGGCAGCATGCTAGGCAGCCGCATCGCAAGTGATCCCATGTCGGATAGCTGCATGCTAAAAAGTGACATGCTAACCGTGTGCCAAACCAACCCCTCTTTTTCACACTTTGACGAGCGTTTGTACTTTTCAATCAACAACGAGCCAGATGTCATCATATCCTCCCTCATCTTTTGAAGTCTCTCGCGCGGCTTCAATGCGCTTGACTCCTCCAATTCTTCATCGCCTCGACAACGTGCGGCAGCGTCCTTAATCCGCAGCAGCTCATCCCGCTGCAAATCCCTCCAAGACTTCCGGCAATCGGCCGATTTCAAAGTCTGACCATCTTTGGTCTTCTACTGAGCTGAACCGGCATCAAAACGACTTTTACGACTGAGTCCAGCACAACAACGGACGACATTGAGCCCCGAGCGTTGGGCGCCAACCGTGAGGCATCGCGACTGTTTTGATGCAGAAACTCGCAGAAAAACAAAGCGGTGGCTTTTGAGACTGACTGATTAGCCGCGCGAACAGAAGTGCCGCACAGATGGAGCGACTCCCCCTCCCCCTCCCTCCCAACGCAGATTAACCTGCGCGACACGCCGCACTTTGCCACTCAGTCACCAAAGGCCAAAGGTTTGTCCTTTTCGGGCAGGGGTGTCAAATTCTTTTTTGCGACAGGCCACATTGTCGTTACGGTTTGCCTCGGAGGGCCGTTATGAATTTGGGGAAGCCATATAAATGTTTAATCCCCTCCACATATTACATACACAGCGCACAACAAATGGATGAATAACTCGTTTCAAAATCATAAGTCAAGAATAAACACTGTTATTGTGGATTTCATAAGACAATTTGAAATTTTGGTCCAGACTTTAGCAAGCGTCACGGAACTTGACATGCTTGATTTGCTTTCGCGGGCCACATAAAATGATGTGGCGGGCCAGATCTGGCCCCCGGGGCCTTGACTTTGACACCCGCGCTTTAGGGCCTCCATCGCTTCCTTTGGCTGAAGCAAATCCACGGCCAGAGCAAAAGTAGCATGCGGGAACGAGTTGTGTCAAACGTGACGTTGGGTTTTTGGGGTTACCGTCCGCTCGCACCGAGGTGCAGTGACCCACCGCATCCAGCAGACAGCGCTCATGCAGATTTTCGAATGACCTCCCTTGATTTGAGACCTTTCAGGCTACTCTCGCTTTGGAATTGAACTCATTCAGTACCAGCCAATTCTGGACCAAGTCTGAAAAGACGTTTGAAAACGTTTTTGGGACTGAATGAGTTGAGGACCCCAAAAAAGTTATTTGTTAAAGCAACATACCGTTATTATTAGTTGTGAATATTATGTATACATTGTTTAAGTAACGCAACCTATTTTTTTTTCTTGTACTGTTAATAGCAATGAACTTTTTCCTTGTTTGTTCAAGGAATTTTTTTTTCTTTGATTAGCATTGCCGCTTGTTACAATTTTATTGTCCAATTTCGGACCCTCAAGCAAATTGCTGGAAAAAAAAAGTTTTTTTAAAAAAAAACTATGTTTTTTCAGCTATGCGGCACAAAGGTGAGAATTGACTGCCCCAAAAAGGTTAACGTACCATTGTTCGACACACCGTTTTTCTCTGCAAAACAAAAATGAACACAATTACCAACGGAGCACAACAAAGTCGAAAAACAAGAAAGAAAAGGAAACGTGAAGAGGAGGAAGAAAAAAAAGATGGAGGAAGGACAAAAGGATGAAGGTGGAGAGGAAGAATTCCAAGAACCGAGGGCGATGAGAAGCAGGGGAAAAAGGGGAGGAGCCAAAGGAGGAGGACAAGGAGAAGACGAAGTGGCAAAAGACAAAAGGCCAGAAAGGTGCAAAAGAAGAAGAATGACGGCCGTGCCAGGTCAAGAGTCCCAAAATGTGCGCCCGGAAGTTGAAAACAACGGAGGCGGGAGGGCCGGCGCGAGGTTAGTGAGACGGCGGGCGGCAAAAAAGCCAGCCGGCGAATCGTCGGTCACGCAAGCGAGCGCCCACAACTTGCCAGTCTTGCGTTGTTGCCTTCGCGCCAGCAGCTCGTTGACGGAGACGCGGAAGCGTTTGGCTTCTTCTTCGCTGGCAAAGTTCAACCCGATCTGGTTGGTCTGAAGGACACACACATGCACACGCACAGCATGACATTTCAAAACAAACAATGGAAAAGCCAATTGAAGGTTTTTTTCCTTGATTATTATTTTCACGAGCACTATTAATCATTTCCATGTTTTGGAAATAGTATTATCCCCCCCCAACCAGCATCCCCATTCGAACTCTTATTTTCATTGGCAGCTTTATTAGTTTCAAGAGCACCATTGCTGAATTCTGTTTATTTTTTTCCCCATTAGCAATTGTCATGATTTGAGGGTTTTTATTTATTTATTTTTTTTAAATAAGACAATTTAGGTTTCATTTTTTTTGTTCATTTTCCATGATGTGCATGACGAGAGAGGAATCCTACTCACGTCCCCTACAAAGGCGATGAAGTAGGACCTGGCGCAGCTGATGGAGAAGTTGTGGTACAGCTCCTGCTCAAACATGGTTTTCCCCTCCTGCGTAGAGCAAGGCACGCCGCGTGTCAGCTCCCCTCTGTTGAGGCTTCGACCGGCGCGCCTCACCTTGATGTCAAAGACGCGGATGAAGTAGGACCGCTGCGGGTTGTCTTTGACCAGGCACGCCACCCCGCAGCATTTCTTCAGCCAGCCGCACACCCGGTCGGCGGCGTACACCTGAACCACCGCCGAACACAACGTCTGCCAAAAACACAGGAATCTCGTCAGAGTGTGTACATGTCCACAGCCCGGTGTGTGTGTGTGTGTGTGTGTGTGTGTGTGTGTGTGTGTGTTCACACTGACTGCGCACCCAAACTTTGTTTTCTTTGAAGCAAAACACGTAATTTAGCTAATGAGGTGGGGTGCCGAACAATTCAAGCAAAAGGCCAGAAAATAATCCTCTCTGGTTAAGGATTGCAAGTATTCACAGGAGGTATAATTCCACTGGTCGCAATTTGGGAGGAAGAAGTGTGGGGGGGGGGGGCTCTCAAAGTCGGTGGATGACCATTAGTCTACTTTTGACAGTGTCACAAAGGTATCATATGTCAAATTTTGGTCAATGTTCTCATTTCCATTTGTAATAGAGTTCAAATGCTGACATTTTGCTGAATAAAAACATCGCGTAATGAAGAGGAACAAGGGACAAAAAAATGTTTTTTAAATTACAAACATGAGACACAAAGCCTGTGAAAGTAGCCTGATATTGTGCAGGATATCTCCACTATTTGCTGGGACTCGGGACAGAGCCCTGCCACAACTAGCGAAAACGATGAGCAACCTACCGAAAATGCAAAGAATTTCTTACTTGAATATTTTAAAACAGAAATATACAACAGACTACAAACTTAATACTTAAATGGTGATTTGGCGTGACCCATAAAAAAAAAAAAAAAGCCAACTCAACACTTCCGCTTACAACCCTGGCTCTACTTATTACTACTTTCCTTTGAGGGTTTCTCCACCTTCGGGCAAGTTAAATTCAATATTTTTACTTCCACTTGAAATTACACACCAAGTTCCCAACATCTCATGTTGTCAAAAGTTGGACGTGAACCCAAACTAAAACTGCATCGCTATTTTGTTGTTTCCGCAATCATGATTGGGAATTTCTCCATTGTGAGACAAATAAAGGTTTTCGTTCTGAAATGATTGTGCGATGTTACCACAAATGTCATTCATGAAATCGTTTTTATTTTCAAAACTAATCATTTATTGAGTGAATTCAGACCATGAACAAAAAGAAACCCCCTCCATATGCATTAGCGATGGGAGAACCGCGAATCATCGGAGGCTCATCATATCCCCAAGAGGGAGATTAATGGGGTGGAAAAAAAGTGGCAGATCGAGCTCCAAAAAAGTGTGCTCGGGTGATGCAGCACATTTAAACGTGACTAGAGCGGCGCAGGTGCGCCGCACGCGCAAACTCACCGCGCATTTCCTGCCCAGGTAGCCGAACAGACAGTCGTTCTCCTGCGGGGTCAGCAGCAGGGAGCCCACGTTCGCGACCCGGCGAGGCAGCGGGTGGCTGTTCATGGCACTCTTGTATGTGGAGGCCCCGCAAAAAAGGACGCGCAAGTAGTACACCCCCCCCCCCGCCAAATAAAAACAACAACAAAAAAAGGGGGCTAAAAAAACAGCAAATTTACACGACGTCGTCCATGCGGGCTGCGGGCGTCGTGGCCTCCATCAGCCGGATCATCGCCGCCGATTTGCGGGCAGGCTTGGTTGACTTTGGAGGGCGGCCAAGGACCGGGCGTGTCTTCTCGGACAAACTTCCTTCACCAAACGACCGAATTCCCCTCTATGGTATAGAATAAGATACACAATCGTCTCTGGTCCCTTTATTTAGATGAGGAAAGGCGAGAGTTTCATCGTTAAAAGTGCAGTCGCCGCAGCAGTGATGCGGCCATCCAACATGGCAACTATACGGGGCGTACCACTTGGGCGAATGAGCGGAGGGGAGTTCTGCGAGTCGCTAGAAATGTCCCCCGATGTTTAAGAGCAAAAGGTGGACCAAAATAACTCGTAAATCATCACCAATATATAGAATAATAACATTTTTGCTCAATAAACACAAGTTCAAGGAGTTAAACACGCTTTATTAGATTCGTTCCTTTTTTCCTACTCAAACGTGGTTCAGTCCGTGGACTGCAGAGCTTTCTGTGGAGGCCAAAGTAGAGAGGCGGGGCTGGGATTGACGTCACGCGCACGAGCCAGATGGCCGACCCTTCGATGCAAAATAAAAGCCCCCAAAGTACTAAAATATTAATCGTGTATTGTTCGCAATCGCTCATCGAATATAACAAATTTAACCTGCAGTTTCATGAGGAATATTTTTTTTGTCCCCCGTGGAAAGAGTGCTATTAGGCGTGAAGGAGGATCAAAACCAACTACAGTACTGTATTTCGATACACAAAACACCCAAACGCGAACCTTTCACTCTTTCTTGTGTTTCTAGAAAACGTTTTTCACCAGTGATGCAACAATGAACTGTCAGCCGCCTCGATTTAAATCAATTTAAACCTACTTTGATTTTAAATTGAAAAATCGAATCAAACTAGTTTTACCATTTCACGGTGACTTTCCGAATTCGTCATTAAACCTGGCGTATTTGCCATGCGTCACGTTTTGTTACGCCCCGTGGCAACGAGAAAATAAAGGGGGGCGGGGGGTGATAAGGTATCGCCTCAATGGTTACTATGGCAACGTGTAAACGGAAACGTTGCATGCTGCTGAATGCGACTGCTTTATGGTGACAGCTCGCGGAGTCGACAATGTCAAAACGGAGCAGATTACTATTACAATTGCATAAATAGATAGATCATGTCGGAGGAGGAGGGCGAAACAATCATTCCTCCGGTATCGGAGGAGAACCAAGGAGAAGCAGGGAACGAGGAGCACACGGATGAAGCAAAGCCAGAACCAGAGGACCAAGGAGAAGCAGGGAACGAGGAGGAGACATTGCCAGGAGTAAGTGCCTCTCCGGACCAAGGAGAGCCAGGAAACGAGGAGGACGCAATAGCAGGGGTAAGCGCCTCTGAGCACCAAGGAGAACCAGGAAATGAGGAACAAGCGAACGAGGCCTTACCAGAAAATGAGCAAGGGCAACCGGGGAACGGGGACGACACTGTACCAGCCGTAAACGTCTCAGAGGGCCAAGGAGAACCGGGCGACGAGGGTGAAAGCTTGCCAGGAGTGAGCACATCCGAGGACCGTGGCGAACCGGGGAGTGAAGATCAACGAGGGAATGATGAGAGCTTATCACAAGTACAAGCTTTCGAGGACCAAGGAGAACCGGGGAACGAGGATGAGACCTTATCTGGAGTAAACAACTCGGAAGTCCAAGAAGAACAAGGGAGGACAGAGGATGAGGAGGCAAACAGCTCAGCGGGAGTAAAGAGCTCAGATGAAGGACCACGAGGTGAGGAGGAGCCGCCCAGCAGCTCGCCACCAGGTGAGTGTGGGACAGCGGAGACGATGTGAAATAATCAGCAGTTCAAATGAATACAAATATACAGAGAGGCCCACTATGCTAGCTGACGCTAACGATGAGCCTCACGCGACGGTGTCTCGAACATCCCAAATAGTCATGCGCAAATCAAGTTGCAACGCGGCGGTAAATGCAAATCACACAAGACGACGATTTGCAGCTCGACCCAAATTTCATTGAACACACGACAAAGACAAGATACGTCGTATTCAAACCGATCAGCTTGATTGTTTTGAGCAAAATATCACAAACTAGGAATTTGATGGCTGCATCACGGTCCCCAAAAAGCGAAGAAAGTTGTGGTATGCTCATCAAACACCTGTTTGGAGCATCCCGCGGGTGGACAGGCTAACCGGGAACGGGAGATGGGGCAAGAAAAAAAGACCCATCCGGACTGCAAAAATGTTTGCCGACGGGGACGGTCGTGCGAAATACGCTCGTCTGATGTTTGTTCCAGGGCAAGCGGCTCGGGATGAGCAGAGCCTCTCGGAACCCGGAGTCGAGCCGCACGGTGCCGTCGCCACGGAGATGACGTCGTCGGACCCCGACGCTCACCTGCTGCTCGCCGATGACGATTCAGAGCGGGACGATCAGCCCAATGTCATCAATGTGAGCCTGATAACCGGTAATGAGAACTTGTGTGTATGTGTGTGTTTTTTTTTTTTAGCGTGTGTGTGTGTGTGTGTGTGTGTGTGTGTGTTTTGTTTTCTTAATCATGTGTTTGTTTTTTTTTATTTAGTGTGTGTGTGTGTGTGTGTGTGTGTGTGTGTGTGTGTTTTTTTTTAAATTGTGTGTTTTTTATCGTGTTTTTTTCCATCCTGTGTGTTTTTTATAGTGTTTTTTTGTTTGTTTGTTTTTTTACATCAAGTTACACTATTCTCAAAATTTGCACGATTTCAGTAAAATTGAAAGATTTCCCATAGCACAGCTGATGAACTTGCCCAGCTTCATTCACATTCACACACACACACGCACACACACACACACACACACACACACACACACACACACACACACACACACATAAATCGGGAGTTGACACACAGCCGATTGTTGTACCTCCGTGCCGCACCCCAGAGGACGGCACGCCGCAGGACTTGCCGGCGGAGGCGGAGCCTCCCCGGCGGCAGAAGGCCTTCCTGGGCGGTTACAGGCACAAGCTGACGGCCGCCGAGTACCACCACGCCGCTTCCCAGACCCCGCGCAGAGCCCGACCCGGGCGAGGCGTGGACATCGTCAGCCGCGACGCGCAGGTACGCACCCTGGAACGAAAATTCACCTCAAGGTCTTCATCACGGAGGGTTTGTAACTCGTCCCGCACGTCAGACGGCAGAGCAGGTGCCACAGACGCAGCAGTGCGCGTCCAGCGTCACCACGCAGATGACCACCGTGGGATGCTACATCTCCAACATGAAGGACAAGCTGCTCAGCCCGGGTAGCTACGTCACCGCCGACGAGTATCACGAAACCAGGCTCAATGCTGTGAGTAACTTTGACGCACGGGAGAAATTGTTACCGGGCTAAAATATCCAAAATGCTGCCGGTCGCCTCCTAACCGGAGCTCGTAGGAGGGAGCACATTGCTCCGATTCTGGCCTCACTTCACATCTACGAGTTCACCTCAAGATGACTGTATTTCGAAATCTTGAAGTGGTCTCGGTCCACCTGACTTGTCTGAAGTATCGGTAGCGGGCGCGTTTGCATGAGCCAACGGGCAGCGCGTGGTGTCCCCCGGCAGGTGATCCGCCTGCAAGCGCACACCCGCCGTTGGCTGAGCTGCCGGGCGGTGGACCGGCTGAGGCGCCAGCGCGACCGCCGTCTGGCCTGGCTGGACCTTCAGGAGCGCAGGAGGCACGAGGAGCGGGCCGAGCAGCTGCAAGACAGCCACAGCCGCTGGATGCAACCGCGCAAGAGGGAGGACCTCAACCTGCTCTACAACGCCCTGGAGAGTAGGTGCAGCCGCCCCGCAGGAGCCATTCCGACCTTTCTGCTGTGCCCGCCTTGGCCCACCTCGGGGATGTACAAGAGCGACGGATATATTGTTTTGTCAGACTCCTCCCCCGCTGTCAGTTTAGCACGAACGCGGGTCACTCGCCACAGAGGATAAAGAATATGAGCGTTTACTGTCATATTGTCTGTCCACATGTGTGGCTGCACCGTTGCTTCGAGAGTTATATCGCCACAACCTGGATGTTTCGTCGACTCAAAAGGCTTAGCGGTGTGTCCGTCGTCAAACGAAGGAGACGTCGTTCTTTTTGTTTTATGTTTCGTTTGACAGAAAGCTAAAATTACATGTCGAAGGTTTAAAGCAACCAGATAACACTGCTAGATTAATGTTAACACGTCATGGGACACGGCACATTGTTGCGGTAATTGAACACAAATGGTGGAGCAACCCGTGTGGACAGACAATATAACAATACTCGGTCACATATCTTGATCCTCTGCAAAGAACGACTGATATTACTGAGGAGCTGAGACCATCTCCATTTACTGTCTATCCGTATGTGTGCATTAGACTGCCCCCAGGTGGTAAAGGCGCGCACGCCAGAAGGAGCAGCACCAGGCCCATTGAATTGATGCAACTAATGTGGCGAAAGCTGTTGAATTCCATCACATTCCAGATCATTTGTGTCATGAGCCACTGGATGTTGCCATAAAGTGCCACATTATACCGTGCCCACCCCACCTCAAAATGTTTTTTGGGATGTGGTGGGCAAAGTAATAGCATTTCCATTCATTTGAACGGGGAAAGAAAACGAAGGTGCCCCCACGAGCGATGCGAAATGAGTGATTTGTGCGTTTGTGCGCCACTCAAGAGTGGAGGAGCGACAAGGAGCGTCAGATCAACGCGACGCTGCGAGGGGCCGAGAGGAAAGCGGCCCTGTGCTCGCTGCTGGAGCAGGAGACGCAGTACATCGCCACCATCGGGCGCCACGGCATCGCCATCAAGAGCAACAACTACAACAAAGCCGTCAGGAAGTTCCTGGACAAGGTCAGAATGCAAACGTTGCCGTCTTTGCGTTTTCGTGACGCGGTCGTTGGAGTCGATGTCATGAGCCACGCCAGAGAAGGAGCGATGGGGGGGGGCCTCCCGCGAGCAGTAATATAGTCCTACCTTTTGGGGGTCGGACAAGTCTCGGCGCCGGATGACGGGTGGTCGATGAATTGGCAGCGCTAACGCTGAGTTGTGGCGGCGTGCGCGTCAGTCGTCGACGCCTCACCAGTGGCGGGCGGCGGACGGTCGCCTCATCGAGATGGACACGCCCGACACCATCCGAGCCAGGGAGCTCGGAGATCTCTACGACTGCGTGGCCATGTCGCCCGTCAGCCAGGAGCAGCGGCTCGACATCCTCCTCTGCCTCAAGCAAACTGTGGAGGTCAGACACACACACACACACACACACACACACACACACACACACACACACACACACACACAGAAGAAATGCAAAATGACAGGTAAGAATGTGTTCCTGTTTTTGTGACAAAAATGATGATGTTGCTGCAGGCACACCCGTGCCCGCTGACTCGGGACATCGTGGAGCTGATCAACAGGGAGGAGGACCTGATGAGACGACAAGTGAAGGCGGCCAACCTGGAAGGTTTGAGGAAGAGGCTGTGCACCTACTTCCTGCAGTTCATCCGCACGCCGGGATTCAACCCTGAGGTGGCCAAGCACCTCAAGGTACAGAGAGAGAAAAACACACACACACACACACACACACACACACACACACACACACACACACACACACACAGCATCATCCACATCATCAGTACAGTGCTTCCAGAAAACGCTTTACACAGAGTCTCACCAAGCTTGTCTGCGAAATTCAAATTTGGAAACCACTGCGATGACAAACAGGAACCAGTAGGTGGCAGCTTTGCATCACTTTGGATTTGAGGCGAGCACAGCTTTGAGTTGAAGAAAAAAAAAAAAAGATGAGTGATCTGAGCTCGACATGTCCATGATGAGGGAGGGGAACGCCCATGCATTGTTTTGGATGTTTTTCACAAGAATGCCATTTTCTCCACTTTTTGGTCAGAAAGTGGTGCTTTTTATTAAATTTTTTTAATTAAGTTCATTTATCAACTCAAAGTTGCATAGAAAACACCTAGTAAAAAAAAAAAACAACAAGATTCACCTTTAATCCCTTTGGAATATCGTAGAAAGGGTTCTGTCAGTCGTCATCTGTACCTGTACAGGTACAGATGACGACTGACAGAACCCTTTCTACGATGGAACTTTCCTGTACGACTGAGAGCCTCCACAAGCCCTTTGGAATAGTGAAGCGCGATGTACAGTGTTGCAGAATTGTTGGGCTGAGATGCCCTACCGTTCATTTTTCAAAATATTTTTTTTAACGACAATGTGGGGGCGGGGGGAGGGGAAAGATCGGCTTGAACTGTTATCTGTAAATATCTATCCATCCATTATCCGAGCCGCTTCACCCTCACGAGAGTCGCGGGCGTGCCGGAGCCTGCGCCAGCCGTCTCCGGGCAGGATATGGAAACGATTGTTATCTTTATGTAAACGGACTCCATTTTGGAATGTCACCAAGTGTGGCAAAAGTGAAGCGCTGTTCACCGCATTTGTGAATTTGGAGAGGCAACTAAGCTAGTGACGGTGGCAATGCCCGCCCAGGTGCCCCAGAACACGTCGCAGCTGAGGAACGACGTGTTCCTGTGCCACGGCTGCCAACGCTACCTGAGCTCGACCCACTTCCGCTCGTGCGCCCGGGTCCACATGAACCGCCGCTGCCTGGACTGCGCCCGGCTCAAGAACGTGGCCGGCAGCCGCGACGACTTCTCCTGCTACAAGAACATCCTCAAGAGGCTGAGGGACGCCGAGCTGCTCCTCAACAAGGACAACTTCATTCCCTTCATCCTGCAGGTGGTCTCGCGCGCCTGACAGACTGACAGACAGACAGACAGAAAGAACAAAATTGCCAAAAACGCTCTAAAACGGCTGGCCATATGGCAAACTGCTGCTGCTGGTCAATGTGCGTTACGATTTGTAAAAAGGGGATTTGACAAAAGCATCCCAAAGCAGATTGGGGACCAGAGAACTAGAGGGGGAAAAAAAACCCTTTTGGTTATTCGCATTCAGCGACGTAAAAGAAAAATACAGGAAAACCAACTAAATGTAAAAACAACCAGAAAAAGTGAAAGATGAAATGCAAACGTATCGAGTTGAAATTTGGACACCACGGAACTCCAGTTGGGTAGTGATTCTTTCACATACCACTAGAGGGAGCCCAAGTAACACTTGTGGCGCCAGTCGCAAACTCAGAAAATTTGTTTTGGAAAATGGAGCAGGATTCCAAACGTCGATGTTCTTCCACATCATACTTTGAATCCCAGACTTACGTCTCAACCAGGGTTAGAATAGTTTCGCCTTTTTCATTGTGGGTCGTTTTGACTTCGCTTTTTAAATTCGGTGCCTTTGAATTTGCTCTTTTTGAGCAAGTTTGGTCGCTTGTGATACTTGTTTATTTCATGTTTCGTCTCAGTTTTAAATTTCGTTTTACTGGGAAGGCGCGAAATAAACAAAGATCTATATTCATATAGACACGCGGGGTGGGGGGGCAGGAAGAGAATATTGGTCGAGTCAAATATTTTTTTCAAAAAGGGCACTAAAAGTCATGCAATCATAACATCAACTAAAATTCTCAATTGACTATTTGACCTTCCTTCTTTTATACGGACGCACAACAATATCCCTCAAAAAATTAATCTAAAATACAAGCGGCAAAGAAACGGAATTTGTAGGTGACAAGGTTGGTTTTTTTTGAAGTAATTGTTTTGATTTTATTGCTAGATTGCCGTTTTTTTCCCCCATTAGTTTTTGTTCACCACAATAAGTTTGGTGCGAAGCCCGAGTGTAACGGCGGCTTGTGTCGTACCGTTGAGGTGGAGGACATCCAGTACCTGGTGGAGGTCATCTGGGGGTCCCGCTCGGCCCTGAGCGGCAGCAGCGACCTGTACAGCCTGGTCCTGGTCCGATGGGAGCGCCACAAGGACTGGAGCCCCTGGAACTGCGTCCTGCTCTGCAAAGAAGAGACGGACGCTCACCTCTTGGTGGAGGACTTGCTCAAGGTCGGACGCTGGCCCCACCAGCACACGCAACTCGCACACTACACTGACTACCTCGGGGAAAATGGGTCAACTTTCCCAAGCGGCGGGTGTGTTTCCGGGTCGGTCGCAGAAAAGAAAAATCTTTAGTCGTCTCGCAATGGAGAAATTCCCAATTCACAGCAGCAAAGTTATGAAAGGAAGAAGAACAAAAATAAAGGAGCTGCTGGAAAGGCGGTCACTCTCGTGGCGCCATCTTGAAGTCAAAAAAACAAAAATAACACAACACATAAGCCACAGACAGTGTGGAAAGCATCAACACAGGCCTAGAGCTCCCTCTTGCGGTTTAATGTGAAAATACCATGTCAAATGATAGAATGTGTTAATTATTTCACACACAAGTCGCTCCAGAGTATAAGTCGCACCCCCGGCCAAACAATGAAAAGAACTGCGACTTATAGTCCGGAAAATACGGTAACATTTCCGTACGTGACGTTTTGTCAATGCCAACTTTTGGACGCGTGAAGGCACCTCCCGTCCTATAAGTGCAGTGAAGGAGTATCGCTAGCACAGCAGAAGTGCGAGTATTTTGTGTCGCCTGAAGTGCCGCCGCCCATTTGTTGTCAACGTTTCCTTCAGGAGTACGACGTCCCCATCGTCCGCAGCGTGGAGCACAAACATTTGCTGGCCCGCCGCCACTACAACCACATCACCGCCATGGCCGTCCACTCGGCCAAAGCGGCGGCCGCCGCCGCCGCTGCGGCCGCCAAACGCGGAGGCTGCAGGACCTGAACGAGAGCCACAACATTTGCTTGAGCCCCATCTCAGTCCGACCCTTCAGCACTGCTACAAAGTCAAACATGTCAATAAAATAAATAAAAAATCTCATCAGTGTGCGACTGGTGACAAAGCAAAAGAAGTCGTAGGCAATATCTAAAAAAACAAATGTGATTTTTTTTTTTTTTGCACCTCCAACATTGAAGTTCAAAAATAATTAAAAAATGACTGATCTTACAACTACAAATCATGTGACAAATGTTCATAGTTTTTCACAGTTGCGTATCTTTTCTGGGTGGCCTTTAAGGGGCGTGACCCCGAAAGCGTCCGCTGGTTGGCCAATTAGTCTGCATGAGAGCGCCCGGGCGCGAGCTGTGGCCTACAGCAGCTCCTTGCGAGTGCGGCTATTTTCTAGTCGTGTGTTTGACTTGACTCGTTTGTCCCGTTCAACAAGCGGCAACTGCGGCTCCCCTTTCCCACACGCAAAGGCATCACAGCACCTATATGGCCGCTTTACAGTGACTAGCATTTGAAGCTCTCTCACGACTCCAAATTTTGCCTCGGAACACAAAGCATCAAGTTGGGCCACGGATCCCCCCCGCGTACGGTGAGAAGAGTAAAGATGCCACAGCTGGCGTCTCGTGTCTATGCGCCAAAGGAAAGTGTGAGTCAGCACATTTTCAAAGCGCTTTTGAGCAGCCAAATGTAAATAAAAAAAAAAAAAACCCAAAAAAAACGCTTGTTCTGTTGAAGCAGCACTGTTAATAAAAAGCATTAAAAAGAAAAGAAAAAAGAAAAATGACATCTGGAAAGTGCAGTCGGATCGCCGCCAGTTGAAAACCACACCATCAATAATCCACATCATCCTGGCCAAAATGTGTGCGAGGAGCTCGTTACACAATCCGCACTCATCTTTTTCAATTTTGTTTTTGTTAACTTTTTGGTTTGAATTCCACCATTCTCTCTCTCTCATCCCGTCTTGTCATGTCATCTTTTGTCGACGTTTAGTGCCGGTTTGATATTTTCCACCATGCGCTCACGCGACATGGTGGAAAATATCCTTCCAGCAGAAAGAGCATTTTGATGTGTTCCAGATTGGCGGCTCAGTGCCGGGAAATACATTCAGCGCTCGCCGCTCGCTCGTCTTTGGTCATTAAAAAAAAATATGTATGACAAAAATATATCAATTAAAAAAAAATATATATATTTTAAATAAAATCATTCAATTAAAAAAAATCTACATATATTTTAACTGCCCCCATGAATTCATCCTGAGGACTAAACTTGAATAAATCAATAAAATGGATGTATCATGACCTCTAGGAAATGGTACCGAGGCCAAGTTTCCAGTTGGACTTAAACGAAGCGGCTTTTGAACAAGAACATCATCTTGAGCGGTGGCCGCCAAGCTGCAATGCGCGCGTGCTATTTCCAGTCTGTTGGACAGACGCCACCTGCTGGCGTGGAGGCTTTGAGGTTTGTTTCACCCTCATTTGTTGCTATGTTGCGCGGAAGCCCGTCGGGGCGGGAGCCAAACGTTTTGGAGGAGATTTTTGGGCTGGCTGGCTCCACCAAAATCCTCTCCGAAATCTTGACGCCGTCTGCAGTGACGGCTGGTTGGAAAAATTCCACCCGCTCGGGCCTCATCTTGATGAGCCCCTCCCCCTACTCCTTGCTCCAAAACGGAGCTCCGTGTGAACTCTTGGTGGCTTCATTGCTTTCTTTTGCGGTCTGGCCGAGCATGTGTTCAACTTGGGTTTCTGCGGGCCTGCGGGCGGTCGGCAGACCTCGCCGCACTCGGGTCGGGGAGCTCCAGAACAAAACCTTGTCCCGCTCCTGAGGTTTTGCTGCACATGACGGAACGCTGTGATTCATGGCAGCTTTCGAGTGGTGGGGCCTTAACTTACAAGTGCCAAACACATTTTATTTATTTATTTTTTTTGCTTTGACTTGTGAGCAAAAAAAAAAAAAAAGTTTCAGACATTGTGTCATGAAATGACCGCAAGGAATTTCACACCATCCGGCCACAATCGGTTCATTGTGCGTGCTCTTGTTGTTGTTGTTGCGTTTTGTTGGTGTGTTTTGTGAAGGCATTTTGCCAAGATGTTTTTGGAAAACCGAAGAAAGTGAGAGGTGAGAAGAAGTCGCCTGAAAAATAGCACATGAGGAAAATTGGAATTTTCTGACATTCTATTTTGCAGTACATTACTTTTTTTTGGGGGGGGGGGGGGGGGGAACTGGGGGGGGGGGGGCGGCGATGGCGGCACGCTCTCGAGTGGGACCTCACGCAAGCTTTTATACACACGCGACGCTCTCGTTTTGAAGATTCGCATCCATGAACCCCGACTCGTATGACTGAGCCGGGACCCGTTCCTGCGTGTACTGCCAAGGCTCGGGCCGGGTGCCGAGTGAGATCCTGCGGGAGCAAAATAACATTAGGGGGGAGTCGGGGTGAGCACGCTGGTTTTCAGGTGGTCCAATCTTCAAACGGCATCGCGACGGTCTCACAAAAAGCTGACTTCTGGCTGCGCACGCAACTGAAACGCAGCTTTACTGTGTTTACTTCTGACTCTGGACACCGGCAGAGGAATTACTTTCCAAACTTGTCAGGGTCTGCGAGGGTCCGTTCATCCGCGACCTGAACCGCTTTATCCTCGCGAGGGTCGCGGGCGTGCGACGGCTCCAATGTTAAGTCTGAGAGGTCGTCGCAAACGCAAAGCCGTGTTTCAAAGGATGTCCTTGGAGAGACAGGGAGCCGGGGCGCAAGACCGGTTCTGGTCGGCAAGAACGTGGTGACCTCGGCAAAAGGTTTGTGACGAAAGGCCACGCTTCAAGGGATCACTTCAGTTTTTTTTGTTTTTTTTTTCCCCTGATGAAAGAAGAGGGTTCAAACCATCTCTCGATAGGTTCCGTAGCGACAGAACTCAACCTTCTGCGCAGGCCTTGAAAAATTAGCAATGATTGTCAACGGGTTTCCCTCCATTTTTCTTTTCCAAAGTGACTTTGGAGCCGTGAGCATTTTGGATTGGAAACGGGGGGCCCTCCGAGGGACGGTCCATTTGTCATTTTCTTTGTCATCGCCACGAGGGGCAGCCTTCACTCGTGTTGTTGCGTAAGCGGAGCACATTCTGGGTCATGGTGTCCTCCCGTTTGATTATGCGTGCTCAACGAAGCTCCTAATGCGTCTCTCGGCGGGGCTGCGTGGCGGCGCGGCGGCCACTCATTGCGGCGGAGCGGGGATCGGGGTCGCATGGCGTCGACGGGGCTCCGGGTCCTGGCGCTGGCCTTGTGGGCGAGCGTCGGGGCTCGGGGGGACGGGCGCAAGCCGGCCCGGGCGCCCCTCATCCCCCAACGGCCCTTCGTGGTGGTGTGGAACGCCCCCACCGAGCCGTGCCGCCTGCGCTTCCGGGTGGACTTGGACCTGAGCGTCTTCGACATCGTGGCCAACCTCAACGAAACCCTGAGCGGACCCAACGTGACCATCTTCTACCACGGCCACCTGGGCTACTATCCGTACTACTCCGACTCGGGCCTCCCCGTCAACGGCGGCCTCCCGCAAAACCAGAGCCTCTCCAAGCACCTGGGCAAGGCCCGCGGCGACATCGACAAAGTCATCCCTCACAAGGACTTCCGAGGCTTGGGCGTCATCGACTGGGAGAACTGGAGGCCCCAGTGGGTGCGCAACTGGGGCGGCAAGGACATCTACCGCAACAAGTCCAAGGAGCGGATCCGCCGGCTGCACCCCGGCTGGCCCGAGAGCAAAGTGGAGAAGGAGGCCAAGGAGAGCTTCGAGAAAGCCGGCCGCGACTTCATGAATCTGACTTTGGCCCTGGCGCGGGGCCGCCGCCCGGACGGCTTGTGGGGCTTCTACTTGTTCCCCGACTGCTACAACTACGGCTACAAGCAACGCCCGCGGCGCTACACCGGCGAGTGTCCCAACGTGGAGCACGTGCGCAACGACCACCTGATGTGGTTGTGGAAGGAGAGCACGGCCCTCTACCCGTCCATCTACCTGGACTACGAGCTCAAGTCCTCGGCCAACGCCCTCAAGTTCGTCCACTTCCGGGTCAAGGAGGCCATGAGGATCGCCTCCATCGCGCGGCCGGACGTCACCTTGCCGGTTTTTGTCTACTCCAGACCTTTCTACGCCTACACCTTCGCGGTTCTGACGCAAGTGAGGACTTTGGACGGGCTCGGGCGTCACACTCGCCGCCGGGTTTTTTTTTTTTTGCCTCTACTTTTCTGTGCTTTGCTCAGAGCGACCTGGTGCGCACCATCGGGGAGAGCGCTGCCCTCGGAGCGTCCGGCGTTGTCCTCTGGGGATCGTCCGAGTACGCCAGATCGCAGGTAAGGACGCCGATGACCGCGCGGGGAGGAGGAGGAGGATGGCGGCCGATCCAAGAATTAGGGAGAGAGCGGAGACGCGGCTCAGCAAATTTTGAACTCGAGATGCAGGACAACTTTGAGATAATCGCGAGGTTTTTGTTCGGGTTTTTTTTTTTTTGTTGTTGCGTCGATTTCAAATCTGCCCTCCTTTTTTCTTGACTACATTCGGCTTTCATCATCATAATTATGTGTGATGTCGTAACATTTAATATTGATGAATGAAGGGCTGGATTGGGCAAGGTGGATTTTTTTTTTCTGAAACTTCAGCTATAAATGACAAAGCAGAGTAAAAAGTGGGTCAAACTTAAAAAAAAAAAAGATTGGAAGATCTCAAAAACCCGACTTTTTTTTGTTTTTTTTTAAAAAGCAGCGCCAAACACGTTTAGGGAGACAAAAAAATGAAAATATCTGATAAACCTGATGCGCTCGACTAAGAGCAAATACCCGTAACATGATTTTGTTAAATCAGCGTCAAAAACTCCTTGAAGGACAAATCAAGCCATCTGTCATGAAAACTTGCTGTTGTGCTCTGGGCTGGGACGATGATCGCCGCTGATATTTGTTATTCTGACGAATCTCAGCATTTAAAACAAAACAAAACAAAAGATCAACTTCCACTGTGTTAATGTCAGGGAACCATTTATTTGAATTTGCGGTGAACGTTAAGATTTGCTACCTCTCTCTCTATCTACCAGTATATATGTCACTAAATCGTCCAGGAGGAAAAAAAAAAAAAAAAACCCTTGGAAAGTGATGAGTGGGTGGGGAATAATGGAATCATCCCAAACGCGGCGACCGTTTCATGATTTCTTCATCATAACAGAAGGTTGTGCCGGTTGTCGTGCAGCGCAACTGTCTGACGGTGAAGAAGTACATCGACGGCCCTCTGGGCCACTACGTGGTCAACGTGACGTCGGCCGCCAAGCTGTGCAGCAAAGCCCTGTGCAAGAAGAACGGGCGCTGTGTGCGCAAGAGCCTGGACTCGGGCGCCTACCTGCACCTCAACCCGCGACGTTTCAGCGTGCGCCGGGCGGCGGCGGCGGCAGTGGCGGGGCCCCGCTTCCGCGTCAGCGGCCACCTCAGCCACCAAGACGTCTTGGACATGAAGCACAAGTTCACCTGCCAGTGCTACCGGGGCTGGAGCGGCATCCACTGCGAGGTGCCCCAGGTGGCGCCGCCGCCGCCCGGCACTCTGCTGGCCGACGTCCGGATGCTCCTGTCGCTTCACTTCTCCTGCCTGTGCATCATCGCGCTTTTGGGCGTCTGTCTTCTCCTCAAGTGTCTCTTGGTCTAAAAACGCCGACGCGCGCTGAGCTCACTTCCTGTTCAAGTGTCCAAGGGCCACTTGGGGAAAAAAAGAAAATTGTAGTCGTAACGGCTTCTAGTTTGCCTTCTCGCAACCTTTTTGGAGCTAACCTGACAGCCCGTGACAAACGTCATTTTTGTATTTTTAGTTTTGATTTCTGTCGTGTCGCGGGCCACTGGAAAATGGATGGCGGGCCGCAAATGGCCCCTGAGCCATAGTTTGGACTCCCTGTTCTAATGGAAATGACTCACATAGTCATGCCATTCTTAAATGTGGTGAAGCAGCATGTGGCTCAAGGTTACACTCGTCAACACATTTTAATTTTTTTTTTTTTTTTAAATCAGAGTTGTTTGTAAACTTTTCTAGAGGATTTTAGTTTCGTTTTTTTTTTCTTTTTTTTTCACAGATTCCAAATCTGGCCTTGTTTTTTCTTGAGCACATTGTACTTTGACGTGAATAAAAATATAATATGTAAAGTAGTAAAACATTTCATAACGTTGATGGATGAACGGTTTGATTCAGCAATAGGCGGATTTTTTTTTTTCCTCAAGTAAAATCCCTCCTGCGCAACCTTTTAGGGGGTCACGTCACAAAGAAAACATGTCGAAAAGCTGATGTGATACAAATTTGCAAATATGATAAATATAAATAAATTCAACTTCTTGAATCCACATTTCAAAGTGAGCGTCGATAGACACAAGGCAACGCCTGCAATTCGACCGACCTCAGACTTGCCTTCGGCGTCCTAATTAACATTTTCTCGTCACTGCACAAAAGCTGCAAGCAGTTTTTAGGCTCAACAGTTTGTCGATGGTCAAACTTGTGCTACGAGCCCGCTCAGGGAACAAATTCAACTCGTATCTCAAGATGACACCGTGTAGCTACGCCGAGACATTTTTGAAATCGGTGTCAAAAATACGTCCCGAGTCCCCGAAAGCCATCTCGGATTGAAATTGGCCGTCGGTACCCGTCGTCTAGCGTGAAACATGATGACGACGTCAAGTCCGTGACCTCGGCGCGCCCTTCATCTCCCGCGCGGACGTTTGGCTTCTGGCTCCGCAAACTCCATCGGAGCGGAGGGCGCCGTCCATATGTGGGAACGGCGCCGCTGCCAGGCGGGAGGAAGCGCTTCAGGCTCAGAGGGGGGCGGACGTAAAGGCCTCGTCATGCCAGACGTTCCGGGGGGGGTCGGCTTCACCCCGAGACTTTTGTCTTGGCTGCTGGGCCACAAGAATTTGGCCGCGGCGAGGCCGGGAGACGCGGCGCGGAGTCGTCAGCCGACGCGGAGAGGCCCAGCGGGCAGCGGCCTTACGTAATTGCCTGCCCCCCCACCCCATCCCCTCCAAATGAATAGATGTCCACAATGCGGTCCGCGCATACATCTTGTCTGTCCGCTCCACATAAAAGGAAAAACACGTTTCCTGCTCGTCAGCAAAAAGCGCTCACAATAAAACGACGACAGGCCAGACTTGGTGTGTTTTCCCACGTCGAAAAGTCCTCAGGAGACATTTCCAAACCTCAAACTGACAAGGTCGGGGAAGCCGACGCCCGCTTGGGGGAAAAATATATGAAATAATTGCAACGACAAATCAAATATTTGCACTGACGTAAAGCCGACGGACAAAAAAAACAAGTCATTCTATTCCCAGGGCTGGGGGGAGGGGCGGAAAGTTTGTTTGGTGTCACCCAAAATAACAACAATAATAATAATAATAATAATTCTATTTCCAGGGGTGG